TATCGCTGATGAACATGGACACTAAAATCCTCAACAAGATACTGGCAAACTGCATCCAACAGTACATTAAGAAGATCATACACCATGACCAAGTGGGATTCATTCCAGGGATGCAAGGATGGTACAATATTCGCAAATCAGTAAATGTACGACATCACATAAACAAAAGCAAAGACAAAATCCACATGATCATATCAATAGACGCAGAAAAAGCATTTGATAAGGTACGGCACCCATTTATGATAAAAACACTCAGCAAAGTGGGAATAGAGGGATCATCCTCAACATAATAAAGGCCATATATGAGAGACCTACAGCCAACATCATACTCAATGGGCAAAAATTAAAATCTTTTCCACTAAGATCAGGAACAAGACAAGGATGTCCACTTTCGCCACTTCTATTCAATATAGTACTGGAAGTTTTAGCCACAACAATCAGACAAGAAAAAGAAATAAAAGGAATCCAAATAGGAAAGGAGGAAACAAAACTGTCACTGTTTGCAGATGACATGACAGTGTACATAGAAAATCCTATAGACTCCACCAAAAAACTGCTTGACCTAATAAATGAATTTGGCAAAACAGCGGGAATCAAAGTCAATATCCAGAAATCAAAGGCATTTCTGTACACCAACAATGAAACAGCAGAAGCAGAAATCAAGAAAAAAATCCCATTTGAAATAGCAAAAAGAAAAATAAAATACCTAGGAGTAAACCCAACCAAAGAGGTAAAAGACCTGTATTCAGAAAACTACATAACACTGAGGAGAGAAATCAAGGAAGACACAAACAAATGGAAACATATACCGTGTTCATGGATTGAAAGAATTACTATCATCAAAATGTCCATATTACCCAAAGCAATTTACACATGCAATGCAATACCTATTAAAGTACCAATGGCTTATTTCACATAGAACAAACACTTCAACAATTTATATGGAACAATAAACGACCCCGAATAGCTGCTGCAATTTTGAGAAAGAAGAGTAAAGTAGGAGGGATCACAATACCTGACACTAAACTATACTACAAGGCCACTGTAATCAAAACAGCCTGGGACTGGCATAAAAACAGGCACATGGACCAATGGAACAGAACAGAGAGCCCAGAAATAAACCCAAGTCTCTATGGTCAATTAATATTTGACAAAGGAAGCAGCAACATAAAATGGAATAAAAATAGCCTCTCCAACAAATGGTGTTGGGAGAACTGGACAGCTACATGCAAAAAAATGAAACTCGAGCACCAACTTACACCTTATACAAAAATAAATTCAAGGTGGATAAAAGACTTAAATATAAACCATGACACCATTAAAGTCCTAGAAAGGAACGTAGGCAGGAAAATCTCAGATATTTCATGCAGAAACTTTTTTTACTGACATGTCTCCTAAAGCAAAGGATATAAAGGAAAGAATAAACAAATGGGACCTCATCAAAATAAAAAGCTTTTGCACAGCTAAAGAAAACAGTATCAAAATTAAAAGAGAACCAACTGTATGGGAAAACATATTTGCCAGTGATACCTCAGACAAGCGTTTAATCTCCAAAATATATAAAGAACTTTCATGACTACACTCTAAGAAGACAAGCAACCCAATTAAAAAATGGGTAAAGGACTTGAACAGACACTTCTCCAAGGAGGACATACAGAAGATCCAAAGACACATGAAACAATGTTCGATATCTCTAGCTATCAGAGAGATGCAGATTAAAACCACAATGAGATACCACTTCACACCAGTCAGAATGGCCATCATAAACAAAGCAACAAACAACAAGTGTTGGAGAGGTTGTGGAGGAAAGGGGACCCTAGTGCACTGTTGGTGGGACTGCAGACTGGTACAACCACTATGGAAAGCAGTATGGAACTTCCTCAGAAAACTAAAAATGGATCTGCCTTTTGACCCTGCAATTCCACTGCTGGGACTCTATCCTAAGAACACTGAAACACCAATACAAAAGAACCTTTGCACCCCGATGTTCATAGCAGCACAATTTACAATAGCTAGGTGCTGGAAGCAACCTAGATGCCCATCAGTGAATGAATGGATCAAAAAACTATGGTACATTTACACAATGGAATTCTATGCAGCAGAAAGAAAGAAGGATCTCCTACCCTTTGCAACAGCTTGGATGGAGCTGAAAAGCATTATGCTACGCGAAATAAGCCAGGCAGTGAAAGACAAATGCCATATGATCTCACCTTCAACAGGAACCTAAACAACAAAACAAAGAAACAAGCAAAATATAACCAAAGACACTGAAATAGGGGACAGACTGACAGTGACCAGAGGGGAGAGAAGAGGGAATTTCAGGGGGGAACGTGTAGGGTTTACAGGAACAAATTTAAAGGACACATGGACAAAAACTAGGGGTGGGGGGTAATGCGAGAGAAGTAGGGAGGGCTGGGTGGGTGGGCTGGAATGGGAGTAAAAGAGAGAAAACTGTACTTGAACAATGATTAAAATAAAATTAAAAAAAAAGAGTACCTGAAATAATAAATATATAAATAATTTTTAAAATACTTTTAAAAGACTGACACCTAATACTTCAAGAGAAACAATGAAAACCAAAGACAAGACAGTGTAAAACAAAGAGAAAAAATAACCAAGTACTTATCTAGAATTCCATAGCCACTAAAATATCTCTCAAGAAAGATGATGAAATAATGACATTTATAGACAACCAAAAATTGAGAGATGGTTTCACCAACAGACTCCCAATAGATGCAATTCTCAACCTCAGGGAGGCAGAAGAAAAGTGATCCTGAGTAGAATGTCTGAGATTCAAGAAGCAATAAAAAAATAAAAAGAATAGTAAAAATATATGGCTAAGTATAATCAAAATTTAATAAAATTTAAGTATATAAAACAGAAGTAATGGCACAAAAATATGATCTACTGAGACTAAACACAAAAAGTAAAATACCAACAACATGGTATCAATACATGGACTTCAGGTGTTTTGAGGTCTTTATATTATTATGAGAGAAATTAAGGTTCTTTTCAACTTTAGAGTTGGAATAACTTAAGACTGTACTTAATGGACTATGCTTCTATTTAGTATGTAGTATATTGGAGCAGACCAATACTCCTGCCAAAACAACCAAAGAAACTGGAAACTAAGCTAATGTTTCTGCCGATACTTGTTGCCTGAAGGTACTTGCTGATTCTGTTACTTGGGACAAGATATTGAAAATCCGGATATTTTTCAGGCACAGAGCTATTGTTAGAAAACAGACAAAATAGCAGTGGTTTTAAAGATCTTTTAGGACTAAAGACAAGGATCTCAAAAGTACAGCCAGTTTTTCCCCCAAAACATTTGCCAAATTTTGAAACTGTAAGATAAAGGCTAAAAGCTAAGCAGAAAGTCTTGAAAAAACAAAGCAGAATTTCTGGCAGTCTTGTGATGCCAGGGAGCTAAGGACTAGTAGTATTCAGGACATGTTGAAGGAGCAAGACCACAGCAGGCTCTGAGTGCCCTAGACAGTTGCACTCTGGGAGCAAACCAAGAGTAGGCTGATGCTTATTATAAATGACCACAAGAGAAAAGTAAAATAGTATTATCCAAAGACTATAATTTTTTATATACAATGTCTAACATTCAATCAAAAATTAGTAGGGATGTTAAAAAACAATGAAAATCAAGGCAATTTTGCGTTTCTTTCAAAATACAATTCATCATTTGTAACATAATGTCTTACAGTACCCTCAAGTCATTATTTGAAATACCAATGAAAATCATTCTGTAGATAAGAAAATTTTGTATTTATAGAATGGCAAATAACAAAGAATCTACCATATTTCTAACCTCTCTGCAACAGTAAATTTTATACTTGTCTAGGTATTATAACTACATAATTCTCATTATTGCTCACACAGAATCATTAAATCTTACTTATTACACATATATGTTTAACAGCACTAACTTTTATTCCATCCTTTTAAACATTTTCATCTTACTGAGAACACACAGTTTCAAAACTTATTTCCAGTATTAACACAATGTACTTTCCAGCTTCCTTAAAACCTATACTTTTTTCTCCTTGCATATTTTGTTTTTCTTACATGTTATAACCTTAAAAATCTGCCTTTAAAAGGACAAAGTATGTGAAAATACTTTGAAAACTATAAATCTCTGCACAAATTTAATGGCATTTATTATTATTATTAATTACCATGTAAAAGCCTGAAAAAAATTTTAATACTTTTAACTAATTGCCATGAATATGTTGTTTTTTAACAGGACAGAATCAGAAATTAACCTTTATGTAGGGTATTAAAATAGTTCAAATTCCAAATCTAACTGTAACAAAATAGTATGTTATCCTCATAATATGTTTTTAATTTTTCTCTTTTCTTTTATTTATATTAATATATATACATTTATATTGCTTTTAAAAGAATTAAATCACTTAAGGTAATAATGAAAAGGTCATATGAAATTAGATATACAGAGAATCATGCAACTATCAGAGCCTATTTACATTCTAGTTTTTCACTAGTAAAATAAGGTTTTCAACATGATTTGTAAGGCTGTTTTTAGTTCTATGCCTGATTCTGTACCCACTAACCACATGGCTTCCACAGCAGTAAATTTTTCACTTAGTCAAATTAATGGTATAAGTAAGTTAAAAATTAAGTGTTCTAACAGAGTTGCAAGTAATAGGCTATATTTGCACTATCAGGCTTAGAATATAAAACAAAAGATCACAAGGCATAGAAATGTCTTCCCATAAAAGGTGAGTACAAAAGGTTCCCATAAAAGGTTAGTAGAAAAAGTAGCTTAATTAGGCAAACTAAAACATTCTACTAATAAACCTGGAATTCTGGCAGTATAGCCATGACTCATACAAGTACCAATAAAAAGGAGCAAGTAACCTTTGTGCTACATGCAAATAGGGGAACTTTGTACATTTGATGACCTATACAGAAAGGTAATTTCTATTCGGACAAAAGAAAAATAGCATTTATGATCAAAAGTGTAAGCTCACCTTGTAAAAATTCCTCCTTGCAAGCAGTGAAGTAGAAGAAAACAATGCTGACTTTCTTGGCCTGCTTTCTTTAAATCGGCCTTGAACCAAGAATAACTAAAACACTGGACCACAAGTGTTCCAAAGAGCATAAAGCTTACTGTTAAAACACCAAAAACATATTGTCCTTCATAGAAAAATCTAACAGATAACCAGATGTCCACAATTAAATCAGTTATATAGATTATAATGCCAAGAATTGACATCATAAAATTCAATTTAGTATATTTCATTATGAATCTCTATAGCTCTTGGTTGTCTACTTCTCTTAAACACACACACACAAACAAATATCAGTGCATCCTTTAGTATAACACTGAATTTTATCTTCTACTCCCTAAATCTATTTAGAAGAATAAATCTTATGAAATTGGAACACTAAAATCAAAGTGACTAATTTTAGCTTTCTTTTCTAAATCTCTAATTTAGTTTCAAGGCTTTATTCAATCTTCTGTTCCACAATGATCTTCATTACAGATGACAAAACCTAAAATAAAACATATATATATGATTCTAAAACTCCTGAGTATAATATTTAAAAACCTAAGGCTGTGAATTTATCAAAGCTGTTTTTTTAAATAATATATTACCACTAAATATTATTCTTATAATAACACTGGGAAAGAAAATTCTTGGCAGCATACTAACAAACTAACAACTTCCTCTCAGTCTATTTACCTTTTAAAAAGCTTACCCTGCCCTGCCTCACTCTGTGGATTGAGTGCCAGCCTGCGAACCGAAAGGTCATTGGTTCGATCCCAGTCAAGGCACATGCCTGGGTTGCAAGCCAGGTCTCCAGCTGGGTGCATGCGAGAGACAACCGATTGATATACCTCTCACACATCAATGTTTCTCTCCCTCTCTTTCCCCCTCTCTTCCCTTCTCTCTAACAATAAACAAATAAAGTCTTCATAAAAATAAAAAATAAAAAGCTTACCCTCTGCTCTTTGCATGAGAAGATAACATTCTGCAAAACAGGAAGTGGGTGCTTTCCAGACACTGGATCTGCTGGCACCTTTATCTTGGACTTAATGCCTCCAAACCTAAGTTTCTTCTCAGATATGCTTCTCTACACTAACTCTCATCTACTTGCCAAATAGAGTCTGAAACTCACTAGAAATGGATTCTTCCAGTTAAAACACTGCCCTCTATTAAAATATAAGCATCTTCTAAGACAAGTCACATATGACCATAAATTAGTACCATTTGTAATTTTTCAACTCAATAACTATCAAGGTCCTGAAGGAATGCAATAGAAAAATGGTCTCCAAACACTTTTTTTCTTTTTTATTCTCCCCCAAGGACATTTTTTCATCGCTTTTAGAGGAAGGGAGAGAGAGACACACATTGATGTGAGAAAAAAACATCGGTTGCCTTCTGTACGTGCCCGACTGGCCTTTTGTTCTACAGGACAATGTTCTAATCAACTGAGCCACAGCATCCAGGGCTCCAAACACTTTTGATCATATATTGTTATTAGTAACAAATCTTGAGCTATGTCTCTCTCTATATATAGATATGTGTGTGTGTGTGTGTGTGTGTGTGTGTGTGTACTGTCAACCCACACATTTTATAAGGGATTTTTATATACATTTAAAAAATAATGAAATTTGAAAAGCTTAACTACTCACAAAGATATTTAGCAGAGGACCAGTTATAGTGGCAAAAATTTGGAAACATTCTCAATGTGTAAACATAAGGAATTTGTAAATAATAGTAGATTCATAAAATAAAATATTACAAGGCTGCTAAAAATATATTTAACAAAGTTACAATAGCCATGAAAAGATTTAATATGCTTTTGATCCATCAATTCCATCTAGGAATCAAGCCTAGGGAAATATTCACAAATGTGCACAAATATACATATGCTTTTTGCAGAAATTTTTATTTTTTAATTCTATTTTATTGATTATGCTATTACAGTTGTCCCAATTTTTTACACAATGTGCCTGGAATGGAAATAAATGTTATATATAAAATGTTCCCCTTTAAGCCTTACATCAAGAAAGACACCCTGATGTTGGATTTCTAGTCTCCAGAACTGTGAGAAAATAAATTTCTATTTTCTGTGGTATTCTGTTATGACAGTCTCAGTAGACTAACACACTCTATGTTCTATAAAGAACATTACTTTAAAAGCTAGGAGGGGAAAGTGTTGCTAAAATCACATACAATCTAACACAGTGTTCTTGCCATTTTACCACTTACAAGTATTTTGTTAAAGTCTTCAGAACAATATTAAAAGGTATTTCACACTTCTTACAGAAAAAAAAACACAAAAGTTCATAATCACTACTCTTCCTGTCAAGAAGGTTGTGGCCAATAGGATAAAAAAAGTAATTTTAAAATATAAGTTTTTCCAATCTAGCAGGCCATGAATTTCCCTGCATTAGGTTTCTTATCTTAAAGTGAAAGATATCATGCCCAACATAAGCATAAATTTTAGTAGGATGAAATTTAATCAGAAAGTTCTGTTTAACTGAATTAATTAAATGTTTCTTGGAACCCACCATGTGCTATTTTAGGCTCTTGGGATATAACAAATGACAAGGGAACAAAAATCGCTGCCTTTGTATAATCTTAGCAGAGGAAGACAGTCAATTAACAATAAAATAAATAAGTAAATTAAATATTATATTCAAACATAAGTGCTATGGAAAAAACATACAGCATGTTAAGAGAGATTAGGAGTACAGGCAGGCACATGATGGGTTGTAATTTTAATTAGAATGGTCAGGGCAGGCCTCACTGAGAAGGTGACATCTGAGTAATGAAATCTGTCATGTGGATATCATATGGACAAGCTTTCCAGGTGGAAGGAACACCTATTTCAAAAGTGTAATGTACTACATTTTGAGTATGTCCTCCAGTAACAAATGTTCCACAAAACACTGGTAGAGATTCCTCAGCATGGTTTTATTGGTTGTGTTTAATTTGTGTCCAAGGTCTGTTCTAACATCATTCCAAAAAATGCAATTTCTTAAGCTTTACTATGTAGGAAAAAAAAACATTGCGCATATAGTGGAAGAACAGATAGTAATGAGAGCAGCTACCATTTCTGAGTGTTTACTACATGTGAAGTATTTTACATATATTATTTCATTTAATCCTTAAAAATCCTTATGAGAAAGGTATTATCAGCTCCATTTTACAGATCAGAAAACTAAGGTTTAGAGATGTTTGGTGTTTACGTGAGTTATCTCCAATGAGCAAATTTTTTTTAATTGTAGATGATTTCCTTAAAATTACAGACCATAATACCTAAGCACTCCATGTGTTCATTTCTTAATCATTCTCCCACAAAGAGAGCTTCCTTTACCTGGCATGGATATGGAAAACACTAACTATTTATAAGATGGGAAAAATGATTTTTAAGAAACTTATTAATTGCATTATTGGTAGAATATCAGACTCAACAGACTAATCTGACATGACAACTTCTATATATTCCTAATTTAGTGAGGCAGGACACAATGCCAACTGGAAAGGAACCTGCACAGCAAGGTGATAATAACTACAGCAGCTCTCATAAAGAGGACCCGCGGCTCTTTCAGTAACCACTTAGTTGTATAACTTGTATGAAGGAGTGTTTTCATCTCTATCCCTAGGCTGATCACTATTCCAATACCATCTTATGAGAAATAACACCACCTACAAAATTTGATTTCCTAGAGAACTCGTGACACTACCGCAACAGAACAGTTTCAATCCCATTTCATTCAGAAGTGAGCCCAGCTGTATGGCTTCCTGGCTGCCAGCCAAAATATATAACCTCTGCCCACTGTACATAATCTCTTTGTAATAAAGCAGATATTTTAAAAGTAAAAACTAGCAAACTTTCATTTGTTCACCAGACTTAACACACAAAATATCGACTTACTTTGTCAAATAAAAAATGCCTTCCTTAACTCAGAGTCTCTTCCAGAAAATCTTCATCTCGAGAATCTTTTTTCTTCAGTGAACAGGTATCATGAAAGGGTTTGGAAACATTTAAGATCGAAGACTAAAATGAAACTGAAATGGGCTGTTAGTCATACGTAGGATTTTCTAACCAGGTGATAGCAGAGTGATTCATTGTGACTACAGTACAACCTTTTATAACCCTCACACAGGGTAAAGGAGTAACATGGGTCCTTTTACAGGCTGACTAGGTTATAAGCTTTTACCATACTTATCAATTAAGTTTTAAGAAAGTACAATTTGCTTCACAGCATACCCAAATGAACAAGTCATGTTTTAAAGAGAGATTCTTGAATTTGAAATACTCTGACAAAGAATTTACAAAGTATCATTAATTTAGACCGACGTTTTTCAAACTGTGTATTTCTCAAACCCTATACCCCAAGGCCATATGACTGTTGGTTTCTGTTCCCCAAAACACCCAGTACATTTCTTCTATTCCCAAGCCTGTCTACAAAGCCCTTCTACTTCCATCTACCAGGGGTGTCCAACCTGCAGCCCAGGATGGCTATGAATGCAGCCCAACACAAAATTGTAAATTTACTTAAAGATGAGAATTTTTTTGTGATTATGTGTCACAATGTATTTAATGCATGGCCCAAGACAACTTCTTCTTGCAATGTGGCCCAGAGACACCAAAAGGCTGGACACCCCTGGGATCTGATGAAGTTCTATCAATCCTTTAAGAATCTGCTCAAAACCCATTACCTTTAAAATTTCCCAGATCTTCCTAATCAATTTGATTCTCCCCTTCCTCCTTCAAATCCCATCACTTTAGCTTCTCTTCTAGCATTTATCCAAATATATGTTAAAATAAGACCATGTATGCCCTGGCCAGTGTGGCTCAATTGCTTGGAGCATTGGTCCTATAAACCAAAAAGGTGCATGTTAGGTTCCTGATCAGGGCACATACCTAGGTTGCAGGTTCAATCCCTGGTAGGGGTGCATAGGGTAGGCAACAAATTGATGTTTCTCTCTCACTTCAATGTTTCTCTCTCTCTCTTCCTTTCTCTTTCTAAAATCAATGAACATATTTTCAGGTGAACATTAAAAAAATCTAGCTGGCACTCAATGAATGGAAAAATAAATATTAGGGGGAAAAAGGTCATGTGTTTCTCCCTTCTGGTTATGAGCATCTAGAAAGAGCCGACTATCTTTCTTTTTTTAAAAGATTTTATTTATTTTTAGAAAGAAGGGAAAGGAAGGAGAAAGAGAGCAATAGAAACATCAATGTGTGGTTGCCTCTCACAGTGCCCCTCAACTCGGGACTGGGCCCACAACCCAGGCATGTGCCCTGACTGGGAATCAAAAGTGTAATGCTTTGGTTTGCAGGCCAGCACTCAGTCCACTAGCCACTCCAGACAGGGCATATCTCTCATTTTTTACACCCCCCATGCCTACAAGAATACTCTACATGATGCAGGCAAATGATAAGTGACTGTAAATGTAACCAAACAGAATGTAAAAATCTTTGGTCTTATTTCCTGGAGAGGAAATTAACCTTCAAGTCACATTGCTAAACCTATCAACAAAAACATTTTGTGTCTGTAGCCTACATCTCTCTCCTGAGCTCAACACACATACCCAGTTATCTATAGATATTACAAGATATCCCACAACCACCTCAATTTCAATTTGTCTAAACCAAGTTCACCATCTACCCTTGTTCCTGCTCTTCTGCTAGTGTCTACTTGTTTGACTCTACTCAAATCACTTAACTTTTAAATTATTTGTTGGGCCCATTTCTTCATCTGCCAAATGAAGAGATTTGGCAGTGAATTAAATGAAATCGAAATGGTAAGCACAAAGGAAATTCTAATTAAAAAAATTAAAAGCTAAGGGATAAAGAGCTACCTATGAGCCAGCCTAAATGGCTGGACTATGGTCCAGACATTACTGTTCTACTCTCTTCTCAAAGGTTCTGCTGACTTTCCAGCAGGGAGTCCTGAGGACGAGGGAAGACAAAGGTGGATTTATTAAGGTGGCCTGAACAGCCATTAATCCATGGCCACAAGTACATAAATATTGGTGAGTTGACAATTCCTGACATAGGGAACTTCGACCATTATTCCACGCATGTTTTAAAGGACATATTATTTACCTTCGCTTTGCAAAGGGAATAATTTACATGATTGTTTCAGTGAAGTTTTTTGAAACACTTTGCCATTAAAAGTACATCTCTGCTACACAAGGCAAGGAAATGTGTCACACAAAATACAGGTGTGTCTTTTAAGAAATCTGTAATATTAAACTGATAACAGCTTTTTCTTCAGAAACACATGCAAAAAAGAATGTTAAAAATGCTTGCACTAAATTTTATAACTGCAAGCATCTCGTGTGTTAATTCCTCATTTGTTTTGAGAAGAGGTGAGCTGGGATACTGGATATATTCTACCACCTGTTTAATGGGAGTGGTTACATACAACAGTCAAAACTCCATGAAACAGATCATAGGATCGGAACAATTTCTTTTGGGTAAATTGTAACTCAATCTTTTTAATTGGGAGCAGTAGTTAACATTGGGATGGTTAATCTGTTAAACCTAGTTCTCTAATCTAAGGCAGACCTAACACTGTCTGGGCAGGCCGGTAGCACAGGGAGGACTTGTTGATGTGAGGGTTAAACGAGGTATTTGTAAAGAGCACTTAGCACATGGAAAGCGCTTGGTACACACTACTTACCGCTGTTTATTATGAAAGATAAACAGGTTACTCGTCACACACTCACAAACCACTGCCTACAAGCCGGAGAAGTCCAGCTTCCCAGGATTTAGAACTCAGTATCCACGCCCAACCTGCTCGCCCTTTGCTCCATCACAAGATTTCCCAGGTTAAAACGTCTCTCGCCCGCCCCAAAACAAACTCCCGTGAAGGCACCTTGCTCTACGAAAAGGGGGCAGCACTCGAACCCCGCTTCGCCTCAGGCCGCCACACGCCTCAGGCGGGAGAACGCCCTCGCTCTCGAAGCCACGTGCGGCGTCACGTGACCTCTGGCCCTGCCCCCCCCCCGCCACAGCACAGGAACTGATCACTCCCCGCCCCACCACCCGCTCCTCTCTATCTGCGACAGGTCACGTCTGGCCCCGCCCCCAGCATGGAGGCGGATCCCTTTCCGCCTCCAGTCTGGGGACTGCTGGTTCCGCCAAGGGCCTACTAGCGGCTTCTGTGCTGCGGTCACAGCCTGAGCTACGCTCCTGCAGTGGCTTAGGCGAAGATGGCAGCCACTCTGCAACGCGTCGAGCGACTGTCCCATCGGGTGGTGCGCGTCCTGGGTTGTAACCCGGGTCCCATGACTCTGCAAGGCACCAACACCTATCTGATAGGGACCGGCCCCAGGTAAACGTCCCCAACCCCCTCGCCACCAAAATACTGGTCCGCCGAATGCACGGAGCTGGGGCTTTGATCACTGCTCGCCTCGGATGGGATTGCGTCCTCCTGCCTTGGCGGGGCAGCCCCATGTAGAACCATGCACAGAGGCCCCGGTCGTGTCGCTCCCTTAAATCACCACCGTTCCGATAATAACCTAACTTCCAACTGGGCTGGGGGAGAAATATTTTTTTTAAAACAAAACAACTTGTTTTTGAAGCCCAATTTACTTTGATGTTGAATGCCGGAGTGAGCGTGTTCAAATGGTTGAGAAATGAGTATCGCCTGGAGTTTTTTAAGAATCTAGGGAAATGTCATGGCTCACCTTCGGACTTTGCACTTTCGTTTTGCCCTGGGTGTAACTTCTTCACAAAACCGGCTCAGTTGAGGTCTTTTTCTTAACTGGGCAGCAGAGGGCAGGGTTTTCTTGCTGCCGAATTGCTGAAAACCGGAAAAGCCCCCACACTGCCCTTGGGAAAGAAGAGCTTACTACTTTGTGTTTGTTACTATTGTGTGGCCTTATTTAGGTTATTTTATGATGGAATAACGTATCTCTTTTCTAAGATTTTTTTTCTTGTTAAGCTGCGTTCTGTTTTATGCAGAAATGGAGAGAGATGTGGTTTATTGTACAATAGCTGCATAGGGCAATTTTTGTGTGCTGAGTATAACCTAGATAATACAAAGTAGAAATAAGATATTGATCTCCTTGAGCATAGAATTTAATTGTGCAGTCAAGACGTGTTAAAATTAATAAAGTAATCTTGAACACTAAAAACAGTTTAATGTGTGTAGTATACTGAGTTTTTATGTGCAGTACTGTATTTGCCTTTTTTCCAGCAAGTCAGTTAGAGGCAACAGGATGGAGCAACTGAAGTATTGCAAGTCAGGCAGGCAAAAGTGAAGTTGACAGTAGAATCACATTCAGGTTAGCAAAGTGCTTGTGGTAAAAGGGATGTGAGAACCTGAAACTGACCAAGGGAAGAGTAGATTCATGTCTCCCATCTTACAGTGTTTGCACTACTACTCACATGAACTCATGGAGTGCAATGGCCGGTGGAATCACTCATATGTATACGAGAGATACATATGATAAGTCCATATAGTTGAACCAGAATGAGTTCATGTACAGATGATGTTACTATTCTGTATCACATAGAAGTCAGGTGGCTAGAAATGAATATTGATTGGGTCCAAGTAAGAGTTCTGTAATCTACCTCTTCCACTGCACAAAACAGTTCTGAGATCACAGGTGGCTCCCATGTCACTAAACCTAATGGCATTTTTCCATTCCCATCTTATTTGAATTTTAGTATCTTTTGACACTGTTGACCAACTCTGCCAACATCGCTTTCTCCTGGCTTCCTCTTACTCTCTGGCTGCTGTTTCACAGTCTCCCTTATAAAGTGTTCTCTTTATCAGATCTTTTAAGTGTTTGACTTCCTCAAGATGCAATCCTGGTCTTCTGTGCTCATGCTATAATCTCTACCTAGGTGATCTTGTCTACTAACTTGGTTCTACCTACTACATGTTTGTTAATAACTCCCAAATTTAGAGCTCCAGTGCAGACAAAATCCAAACTTGATTTTCAGACCAGGGTAGTCAACTGCTTTCTTAAATCTCTACTTGGATGACTTACAACCACTTGAAACTCAGTATTTCCCAAACTGAACTCATGGGCTTTCCTACTAAACGTGATCCTCTTCCGGTCAATCATTCATATCTTGGTAAACAGAACCATCCTTACATTTGATCAAGGCTAATACTTAAGTATACTCCTTAACATTTTTCTTTGCTTCTTGCACACACATCCAAGCCATTAAAAAGATCTCCCCATTTCTACTGATATCACACAATCCACACCAGTACAACTCTTGCTTAGGCTTCTAAAATAGCTTCTAACTGACTTCTTTTCATCTACTTTTGTCCCTCTTCAATCCATTCTCCCCCATGTAGCCAGAGTTGATTTTTTTAATGAAAAGTAGAAGGCCTTGTGTATTCTGGCTGCTACCCGTCTGTCAACCTGATCACAAACCTCTCTCCCATCCCAGCCAGATGAGTTGTATCCATTCTGCCTCAGGACCTTCATCCATGCCTTTCTTTCTCCAACTATCCATCTCCTCTTTACCCAGATAAACTCCTTCATCCTTTAGAGTTCGGTTAATACGTCATTTCCTCAAGGGAGCCTCCCTTAACCCCCTAGACTATGTTAGGTTAATGTAATCCACTGCCTTAGTACTCATACTTTTCATGGCCCTTATCTTGATAATACAATCGTTTTTTTGTGGGGATAAGAAAAAGCTTAATAGCCTTTCCCACCTTTAATCACAATGAAATAAGCCCCAATGAAGCCTTACTCATTACTATATCCCCACCTCCTAGCACAGAGCCTTGTACATAGTACAGGAATTATAATAAGTATTTGCTGAATAAGTGAGTGTTGTCCACAATCTCTCTTCATTATCTTTGTTATGATTCCAGGACTGCTGGATAACTGCAGTTTTAGCTGGTCTTCCATCCTTATTCTGATTAGCCCATGGATGCCAAATGAATTTCCCTAAAGCACAACGGGATCTACTATGTTGCCTGGTACATAGGTATTCAATAAACATTTGAATGAACAAATGATAGGGAAACTTTCCAAAGAGTATGTCAAGGTTTCTTCCCTGCCTAAGGACTTCTAAAACATAGCAATTTTAACATTTACTACAAAACTGTAAATACCTTGAATGAAAATATACTATTTCCTATTAATAGTATAAGGCAATCTAGTGGAATAAAGTTAAGACTCTGGACTGTGGTACCTAGATCCCAGTCCTGGTTTATGACTTTGAAAGTTGATTTTCTAAGCTTCAGATTCCTTATCTATATAATGGGGCTTGTACACGACTTACCTCATAAGGATGTTTTGAGGTTCCAGTGAAATTTAAGCAAAAAATCTTATCAAAAGCACTTAACAAATTCTAACATGTGGCAAGCATACAATAATATTAGCTATTATTTTTACTACTTCTCCTTCTCTCATAGCATCCAGACAATTCTGGGTTCATAGTAGGTACTCAGAAAATTACTAATGAGTTTGTAAGAATGATAGCAAAATGACAGAATCCATTTAATCACTAGCCTAAAATTGAAATAAAATACCTAAAAGAGGAAGTTGATTCCACTAATTTCCATCAGTTGAAGAATTTTTTTCTCCATTCACATAACAGACTGTTACTGTGTGCCTATTATATGTCAGGCACTGTGATCTAGTGAATAAATTGTCACAGACCTGTACAGATGCTTCTGCACTCTTGTCCCCTGCATTAGTATAACTTGTATTTGCAAAATGACCTCCTGAAATGGGTCTGTAGCCATGAAGAACAAAGTTAACCAGCCCACATAGAAATGACACTCTAAGCCCTGGCTGGCGTAGCTCAGTGGATTGAGCGCGGGCTGGGGACCAAAGTGTCCCAAGTTCGATTCCCAGCCAGGGTACATTCCTGGGTTGCAGGCCATAACCCCCAGCAACCGCACATTGATGTTTCTCTCTCTCTCTCTCTCTCTCTCCCCCCCCTCTTCCCTCTCTAAAAATAAATAAATAAAATATTTTTTTTTAATTTCTACAAAAAAAAAAGAAATGACACTCTAATCCTCTGCAGTAACTGTTCACAGACATTATTGAGAGAATTGCTGTATGTTAAGGAGGAAACTGAGAACACTGATTTTCTAATTTACAGCTGAGGTTTCATTTACGCCACGTAAGGAATGATTCTATGTGCTTGTTAAGCTGTGTACCCTTCTACCAGAGAGGCAGTATGTCTTCAATGGAGAAGTCACTGGACCTTGTATCTGAACATTTAGTGCTTCCCAGTACCACCTGTTGCTGAGGCCTGGAGCAAATCATTTAGCCTTTCTGAAGACTGGTTTCTTCCGCTGTAAAATAAAATAAATAATAATACCTCCCTAGAGTTGATCTGAGGATCAAAGAGGTAATAAATATGTGAAAGCACCACATGTTAGTTTAAATTGCTCTGTTGGTCAATGTAAGGTGTTACATTGTGAGACGTTCCCCCATTCAGTAGATTCCCTTTTCATTCTGTTGACGGTTTTTATTTTATTGATGGTTTCTTTCACTGTACAAAGCTTTTTAGATTGATGTAGTCCTGTTTGTTTGTTTATCTTGCCTGATAACACACATCCAAAAAAATATTGCTAAGATTGATGTCAAAAGAGTTTACTGCCTGTTTGTTTTCCATGAATGTTATGGTTTCGGGCCTCTAATCCATTTTTAGTTTATTTTTGTATGTGGTATAAAAAAGCGTTCCAGTTTCGTACTTCTGTATGTAGCTGTCCAATTTTCCCAATACCACTCACTGAAGAGATTGTCTTTTCCTATTGTATATTCTTGCCTCCATTGTTTGTACATTATGACCATATATCGCAGACTTATTTCTGGGATCTGTATTCTATTCTGTTGACCTGTATGTCAGTTTTTGTGCCAGTACCTACTCTATTGATTTCTGTAGCTTTGCAGTCAAATCAGGGAGCATGATACCTCCAGCTTTGTTTTCTTTCTCAAGATTCCTTTGACTCTACAGTATCTTTTGTGGTTACATACAAATTTTAGGATTATTTGTTCTAGTTTTATGAAAAATGCCATTGTTATTTTGACAGGGATTGCATTACCTCTGTAGATTGCTTTGGGTAGTATACATATTAATAGTATTAATTCTTATAATTTCTGAGGATGGCATATCTTCCCATTTATTTGTTTCATTTTCAGTTTCTCTCACAAATGCCTTACCGGTTTCAGAGAACAAGGCATACCCCTTTGGTTAAATTCATTCCTGGGTATTTTATTATTTTTGATGCAGTTGTCAGAGGGATTGTTTTCTTAATTTCTCTTTCTTTTTATTTTCATACAAAATTGTTTTTTAATAAAACTGGCCAGAGCTTGTTTTAAAACCTGAAAAAAAAAGTAAGAAATA